GGATTTAATGGATTGAATAGACCTTGTCTTTAGTGGCTGTGTTAAAATAAAGGTCTTCGTTATTTGCTGTATCAGTTTAATGTTTATTTTTAGCTTTGTTTATTCATTATGCGATTTAATGTTCAAAGATTGGTAAATTTCTTATTTTAATATAGGCTTAAGTCATATTTGTTAGTATAAATTGTATACATTTTTGAAGTTTTTGGATATTGTTGAGTTTCAATACATCTGGGAATATTTGTGAATGAGTAGATTTAAGGAAGTAAGGAAGTTCAATGAAAAAACATGATTTTTCCATTTAGTTGATTGATCTGTATTACTCGTATAGCTTTTCATTATTTCTATTTGTATGATTATTTGATAATTTTATTATCATATGACATACCACTCTCATTTTTCTTTTTCAGGATCTTGTTAGTTATCAAGACACACTTGAAGTCAGCCCAAAAGTCACGGGAGATGGCTGCCTATTTAGCATCACGTTTTATAACCAGACCAGACCTGAGGGACAAATACCTGCCTGAATTTATTACTTATTGTTTTGAGGTGTGTTTTTCATCCACACATCCACAGACATGGCATGGTGCCAAGTCTCTAAGTGTTTTTGAAGTATGGTTATATATCTTGCTTTTCATGTTATCTCCATGGCAGAATTAGCTGTTTTAATGTTCTGCTGTTAAGTATAATAAAAACAAAGAAAATTATGTTTTAAAGGTACAAGATGGCTCTAGTCTAAACAACAGAATGTAGAATTAAGATTTTTACTTTCTTTTTTTCCTTAATATTAACAACAGCCATTTCTCATGTATCTTTGCTGTTAGCAATATCATCAGGAGGTCTTTTAACAAAATTCATTACTTCATGACATCACTATCCCATCAAACAGGTGCTGGACATTGATTCAGAATCCGAGCTACATTCAGTCTTTCACAAGCTAGGGGTGTTACGGGCCCTAGGGTTAATCTTTAAGCATGGAAAGAGAGAGGAAATGCTACCGTACTCAAAGGATGTTTTGCTGCGTCTTATAGCCACAAAGGAAATGAGCAGCAGTGACACCCCTGTAAGGAAATTGTCGATTAAGCTCATTCAACGCATTGGTAAGACAATAATTGTTATTTTTATTGTTGGAATAAACTTTTTTGTTGGATTTTCTATCTATCTTTCATTCCTTCTTATTTAAACTGGTTTGATGATAATTATAATTTATATTTTTGCACAAAATATCTGGAAGATGTTTTTACATTCCAATGTTTAATTTTTTTATCTGTGATTATCTACATGCTGATGTAGAAGTTTTGCGTCTCATGGAAACCACTTTTTGGTAGGACTGACTTTCCTGAAGCCGAAGATCGCTACTTGGAGATACCAACGGGGGAGCAGGAGCCTCTCCATCAATATCAAGGGTGTCTCTACAGAGGATGGCAAAGCAGAAAAAATGGAAGAAGAGGATGAGGAGGATGAGGAAGTCGTGGGTGAAGTGGAAGAAGTTATAGATAGCTTATTGCAGGGGCTCAAGGATAAAGACACCATTGTAAGGTAAGCAGTTAAGGATATTTTGCATGTGAACTTCTTTTGTATCTTGCTGTATTTTTATTTTGTTTTTTCTTTGTCTTTGCTTTTTTCAGATTTTTTTTTTTTCTTTCTTTCTTTCTTTTCATTTATTCACCTCTTTCCCTGTGTTAGTATTATATTTTCATAATTTTTATTCTCATTATCATTTTCTTATATATTTTTTTTCTTCATCTTTCTTTCTTTCTCCATAGGATCTTTATAGTTCCTGCAGTTCTCACTCTTTCTTATAGTAGTGCCTTTACAAGAGGATAGTTTCTCCTACCCATCCCCCAGTGATACTGAAAGTATCCCCAGTTTTCCAGAAGCAATTTCTATCCCTTTTGTTTTTCCATCAAGGTGGTCAGCAGCAAAGGGCATAGGGCGTGTGACAGGCCGTTTGCCACAGGAGTTCGGTGATGAGGTGGTCGGGGCCATTCTGGAGCTCTTTTCAACACGAGAGTCGGACAAAGCCTGGCATGGGGGCTGCTTGGCTCTGGCTGAATTAGGTATGCTTATAATTAGAAAAGGAGAGTTTAGCTTGCTGTATATGGCATTGGAAAATTAAGAGTTCACTTAACAGCATGATTTGGAAATAAGAGTAATTTCCTTAACCACAAATTTTGTTCTTGAGAATCGAAAGTTCCAGAAAGCAGGGTATTATTTAACAAGTTTCATATTCATAGTAAATTAGGGAAGGAGACTCAGATATTTGGTATAATGTGGTTGTAACCAACTGAAAGAAAAGGTTATAATCACAGTTATGTCCAGCTGAGAAATTTAGTATGCTACCTGTGAATGGGAAAGTTACTTACAAACAGCTGGGAGTGAGACATCAAAATAGGAACTTTTGTTTGTAAAATGGATTGTTCAGTTAGAAGTGGAAAACGATGCAAAGAATACACTTGCAGAATAGATAAGTAGATTTTCTTTGCTCCAACCTTTACAGCTCGGAGAGGTCTGCTACTTCCAGAGAGACTTTCGGCAGTTGCACCTGTTCTCGAGAAAGCTCTAGTCTATGATGAGCTCAGAGGACAGTATTCAGTTGGATCAAATATCAGGTAGGCACTATCAAAACTAAGCTGCTGATATGAATATTGCAATTATTCATTTATTGTTATTAACATAGTATTTTTATTATCATCATTATTAATTTTTTCATTTGTCTCATTATCAGTACCTATTCTTTTTACCTGGTGCTCTTGAATTATAAAAAATGTTTATTATTACGTCTATCCCTTTTTCCCAGAGATGCAGCATGTTACCTGTGTTGGGCCTTCGCAAGAGCCTATCACCCTGACCAGATGACTCCGTATGTCAACAAACTTGCTGTTGGCCTCCTCATTGTCGCCTTGTTCGACAGAGAGGTAATTTTCTCACCAGGACTAAGACCTGGCACAGATCTTGAATGAAAATTATTATGGTGGTTGATACACACACACACACACATATATGTATGTATATATATATTATATATATATATATATATATATATATATATATATATATATATATATATATATATATGTATGTATGTATGTATGTATGTATGTATGTATGTATGTATGTATGTATGTATGCATGTATATGTATATGTATGTTTGTATGTGTGTATGTGTGTTTCATATTAAGATGAATAGATAAATTAAAACACATGAAAACATACAAATTATTTTCAGGACTCTAGTTGGATTATTAGCACAGTTTACACTAAGTCCTCAGCCATGCAAGTCTACATAAGAAACTACAATTATAAAAATATGATAAGAACATGGAAATATTTCATGGGACAGATTCTATGCCAAACCTAGAGCAGATTTTGTTGTAATTTTGAAAGATCTCCCTTTGATCTTGGACGGAAATTATTAGAAACTGATTTTTTTTTTTTTTTTTTTTTTTTTTTTTTTTTTTTTTTTTTTTACTAAACACTAAAAGGAATAAGCCAAGCATTATTATAACCTCGGTTCTGCAGATTCCATGTAGACGAGCAGGATCAGCAGCTTTCCAAGAGCATGTAGGACGACAAGGCACTTTCCCCCATGGCATTGAAATTCTCACCACTGTCGACTACTTTGCTGTTGGCAACAGAACTAATGCCTTCCTCAACCTCAGTGTCGAGGTTGGCCAGTGAGTTTTGCAAACTTGAATGTTTTTTGAAGGGGAGGGGAGTAAATACTTACTGAAATTCATCTTAGAATAATGTTTAGATTGAAATTCATCCTAGAAGAATGTTTAGGCCATCACTCTATAATATGAACTTGGTAAAGCTCTATAATGAAATGCAACTAAATGAAATACTGCAGGCAATCCTCATAATCCCCAAAATATTTCTCCAATTATATACACAAGGATAGTTTCCAATGATTTATCACCGTGCATCCCTTCCATTCCAGATATCCTGAGTACACACAGCCTCTCATAGATCATTTAATGGAGAAGAAAGTCAATCACTGGGATTCAGCAATTAGGGAGCTGGCATCAAAGGTATGAGTTGCGTATAGGCTTATACATGTTTTGTATATTGTTTATATTGCATGATTGCGTTTATCATGGTTAGTCATAAGTAGTTGTAGTATTGTGTTTATTGCCATTTTCTTTATGAATTTTGTCAATAAATAAATAGATATATATATTTATTATATTATATTATTATTATTATTTATTATTATTATTATTATTATTATTATTATTATTATTATTATTATTATCATCACAATTTGTATTTTTATTATTATTATTATTATCATCATCATCATCATCATCATCATCATCATCATCATCATCATCATCATCATTAGTATCACAATTGTTTTGATCACTGCCTTATATTTATCACTCTTCATTATAACCATTATCATACTCAGCACCATCATCATCATTATTATTGTTATGCATATCATTATCCATATCATCACTATTGTCATCTCTAGCACCTGTATATTTCCTTCCTTTAAATCTCCAAGGCCCTCCATAATTTGACTGCCCTTGACCCTGAGTACATGAGCAAGACCATCCTGCCACAGCTCCTGACCCAGACCACAGGCAACATCTTAGTGACCCGACATGGAGCAATCCTGGCTGTGGCACAGATTGTTCATGGTCTCTCGCTTGTGGCTAGTAAGGAAGGGAAGCGCATTCAGGATGTAATTGGTGAGTTCTTTATTTTCAGATCTACACATTTCTTTGTTTTGTTTTGTTTTCTTCTTCATCATCATCTTCCTCCTTCTCCTCTCCTTCTCCTTTTTTTTTCTTTCTTCTCCTCTTCCTTTTCCATCTTGTTCTTTTCTTTCTTCTCTTTTACTTGTTTTTTTTTCTTCTCCCACATCCCCCTCCTCTTTTGTGAAAAGAACCAGAATGATATTCCATATACCCATAAAGAGAACATCACTGAAGAGGTGACATGTTCAATATTATATTCTCTCATCTTCTCTTTCAAGGAAAAGATGTTTTAAGTGGTATCCGCAACATCGTACCTACCTTGGAAGAGAGAAAGTTATACCGAGGCATGGGGGGAGAGTACATGAGACAGGCAACAGCAGTACTCATTGAGAAGTGTTCCCTCTCTGCCTTTCCCTTCCACGGCGAGGAAATTCTGGGTAAGTGAGGGCCTCTGAGGGGAGCTTAAAGAGAAGACTAAAACGTGAGGAAAGACGTAGTAAGAGCAAATGGTTGAAGGAAAGAGGCCTAGGGTTGAATTTTAATAAAGGAAAATCAAGGTGAAACTGAGAAGAATGATGAATACAGACTGAGAGAGGACTGAAAAAGTAGGTTGAGATAATGTGAACTTGGCTTCATGTAACCCGTGTATGTAGAGAAAATAGATGTTATGAAATAAGTGATGTCAAGAAATGTGTTATGTTGTGAAGAGTATGCCCGACATAGTTTCTTGTTTTAATGGGTATCAGTATATGATAATTAATGTATTTTTGCTGTTTGGCATACTGACTTAGTTATACAGATTGAATATTTAACTTAGCTATAGTTTCTTGTTCTTGTGTGTATTAGTATAACTTTTTGCTAAGTGTGGCTTACTGAATTACTTATGAATTATGCAGAATGAATATTTAACTATATAAATCATATGCATGTATTTTTTAATTAAATTTAATGTGATCAAGGACAGCTTACCATCCCTTTGACAGCTTAAAATATTCACCAATTCTTCTTCAAATTTTCAGATAAGTGGCACCTCTTGCTAGAAGATTGCATTGTGTATGTAGATGAGAACATCCGCACAGCTGCCCTAGAGGCGCTGCCTTCCTTCTGGTCAGAGTACTTTAGTCCCACAACAGAGGAGAGTAAGAAGTGGAGGGACACGCTCATAACTAGATATACAAGTGGGCTGGTCACTGAGAAAGAGACACAAAGTTTGGGCTATGCAGCTGCCCTTGGTATGACCAGCTATTGTGAAAACTTTTATTGATTATAAATTTGTTTTGTGTAGTATCATTAATATCTTCATGGAGTTATGTAAAGAACAGATTGAAAATGTGAAATTGTTGGTCATCTAAAATATAAACTTTAAGGTAGAGAGATAGAAATCATTATTTTTTTTATTGTTCCTTCTGCGTAGGCACAATAGCAATTCTTTGATTATAATAGGACGTCTTTTTGAGTCTTTTTATTTGTCTTAAGTTATCTTTCTTTTTACACATTCCTGTCATGCCCTATTTTTATGCATTTAGTTAATCTATTTCTTTTTTTAATTCCAACTCTTCCTCTCTCCTCCAGGTTGTCTCCCACTCCCCATGATTACAGGAAAGTTTGATGTAGTGTTGTCAGCCCTCATTGGAGCAATGGAAATAACACCAAACACAGCATCTTGGGCACGGACGAGAAAGGAGGCCATTTGTTCAGTGCTACATCTGATAGATACAGTAGGAATCAAGACAGATGGAAAAGGTAATATAGGATGATTCCGAAGTATTCTTTCTGGGAAATTGGAGTTATCCTTATGGATTAGATGTGTAGTTGTAGCATGATACAGAGTAATTGCAAATAATATTAGATTTGGTGCTTTATTGCTGTAATTGCATTTATGAAGAAAATCTGATGTATCTTTTATTCATCAGTTACCCCAATGCTGCTAGGAATATGTAATGTTTATTGTAGTTTTGTTTTGTGAAATGTGTTTACACATAGATAGTTCCACATGTGCTCCATCATCATTTATCTGTAAATAGAATCAATAAAATTAAATCACAGTGGATAGTGGATCAATACATGCACACCCAGTATCAGCAGATTAAAGGATATGTTTTCATAAGCTACCTTTTATTTTATTCTTTAAATCCTTTTTCATGTTTTCTATATGTAACCATATATCTATTTGTTTGGGTGCTCTTATTAATCCATTAATACAGGTTAACCCATTGCCAACGGGTGGCATGTATGTACATGCCATGGCTGTTGTGGACCAAAACACAGATGGCATCGTATCATGCCCATTCCCACACCACTGGCTCGTCGGATGGAGTTTGTTTGTCTCCGATAGTAGCGGCTACATTTTTATGGTAATTTTAGGCAATGGCACCTATAATGAAGGTAAGCCTTCAAAATTTTAATATTTTTTATAGATTATAGCAAAATAAAAGCTTTTAGGTGCTAAATGTCATTGCAAACTACCAATCAAGCCAGGCGCAAACTGGGGAAACTGCCAATGCACGCCAACAATCCCATTCTTACGTCCACTTTCCAAACATTTCTACCCATCGGCACTGGGTTAAAGATTTGGCTAGTGGCCATTAATGGATGGATTGACAGTTTCCCCCATCTGCAACTAGCCCATTCAGTAGTTTGTGAGCAACATAAGGCACCTAAAAGCTTATATTTTCATAGTTACAAAATAAAAATTAAAATATGAATGTTTACTTTCACTTTAAGTGCTATTGCTTAAACGTTTCACCATAGAAATGATGCCACTACTGTCAGAGAAAATTAAGCTCCAAAATTGAGCGGACAACATAGGAATGGCTGTGATGCAATACCACCCACCATTTGGTCCACAACAGCCATGGCATGTATGTTCATGCCACCCAGCAGTAAGGGGTTAAGGCATTGTTTATAAATGCTTCTCCCTTTTAAAATCTCATAATTCTCTGCAGCATGTGATATGGTCTGCAAGGCAAACCTAATGCAAATCTACCAGGCGCTGGTGAAGAGTTTAGATGATTACACAATGGACAGGAGAGGAGACATTGGTGCTTGGGTTAGAGAGGCTGCCCTTATATCCTTACAGGTTTGTATGTTTTGAGTTAGCAGTATATACTCCAATTTTCTTTTTCTTTTTCAATTTATTAATCATTTGTGAATATCACCTTTGTTCAGTAATACATTTTAGAGTCTATTTCAAGATTGACTATTGATTTCTAAAGGTTCACTCATCAAAACACTAAAACAATTTCAGACACTAACTGCAAAGGTTGTAGGAGTAGATGCAAGCCTGCTGTCTGAAGACATTGTTGGGGAAATGATGGCCCGTGTCTGTCAGCAAGCTGTGGAGAGAATAGACAGAACAAGAAAGGTGGCCGGTACTACCTTTGCGGCACTCCTATATAGGTGACTGTTTTGATTGTTATTGTGATGAGGATGAGGATGAATTAGAGGTTTATAATTGAATGGAAAAAGGATCACTGGAGGAGGAAGAATTACTAAAGAACTATATTTTCTGCACTGTAGTATGAATGAGTATTTTGAGCATTAACTGATTTGATTAATTGCATATCAAATTCCAGCAACCCCAGGGTCCCCCACATTCCAAACACTGAGCAATTGGAGGCCATCTTCCCCAAAGATGTGTGTGATAAGATGAACTGGGCCTCAGAGAGCAGCACCTTCGGCCTCTTCATCCAGCTGCTTGACCTCCCTGTCTATAGGAGTCGGGTGCTGCTAGGAGTAACTTACTCCGCTGGTGGAATCTCAGCAAACCTTGTAAGTGAAAAGGGAAGATTGTTCTTCATTTCTTCATCTCTCGGTCCTACAGCTTTTTGTGCTGTTTTTATTCTTACTCCATGTTTTCTCTTATCGATATCTGTTTCTCATTCTCCTCTCTCTACATATGTGCCTTTTCTGTATTTTTTTTTAGTTTGTTTTACCTTTTTCATATTTTCCTGTATAGGTTATATGTCAGTTCTTCTTTTTTCCACTTTGCTCCTTAATAGTATCATCAAAAGTGTAATGTTTTGTTTAGCACTGAAGTAAATCAAAGGAAAGATAAACAGCTATTGTTCTATGTTATTAAATATCCATTTATTCTAAGAAAATCGGAGAGATTAAGAGGATACCAAAGTACAAATAGCAAAGGATGCTGAAAAATATTTGGATTTTCCAGATGAAAGTGAGAGCTTTAGCACTTTCACACTTCCTATTTGTTTTCTCTTTTTGAAATCTGCAGAGGACAGCAAGTAAGTCTTTTGCAATAAAAAAACAAACAAACAAAAAAAAAAAACAGGATAAGCATGTCTGCTGAAGACATTGCTCTTTTTCTCTTTTTTTCTCAGCATTTTCTACTCCTCTTTTCTGTCATCATCATTGTTAGTATTATTATATCAACTGTCTTTAATCTTCTCTCCAACAACAGTCTCGCTACACAAGTGAAGCCTTGCACACGTACCTGAATGCTCGAGCCACCAAAAAGGACCAGCTGGCATGCTTCATGGAGAACCTACTGCAGCTGTTTGCCAGCTATCAGAAGGTAGACCGCATTACCCTGCCACTCATCAAAACCATAGGGGACTTGCTGAGCTCTTCTGCCGTGCTGGATGTGGTGGGTACCTTTTTTTATTTGGTCATTTAGAGTAGCCTGTATGCTAGTTAATGTTTTTCTGTCTTTCTTTCTTTCTTTTCCCTCCTCCTCTTACTCCAAAATACCAGATAGCAAAATCCGGCAATTTTGAGATATACATTTTTGACAAATTTTCTCCGAAACCTCTGGAAGTCTCCCCTTTGAAGTTTCTTGGAAGTTTTATCGCCTGAAAGATGTTGATGTTTACAAAATTCTCATAAGAATAATTGCATTTTACTTATTTAATGCTGTGTATGTATTAATGATATATTATGTGAATGCTGAAGCCACCAAACAATTGAACTTATCTTAAAGAACAAGCTTTGATTTCCCCATCAAGCAAGGATTTAACTCATAAAGTCTTATTTACCACAGTCATAGCTAATCACATAACCTTTTTCACCACAGTCGTGGCAGGTCTTGTAAAATAACTGGCAGAATTTTTACAATGACATTTTCATTAGAAAGAAGTGTAGTGTTTATATATACATATGGAATTATTTAGCAAATTTCCTTCAGCCACGCCCACAATATTACCCTCCTATTCCCTCACTCCCCTTGTCTGCAACAAAAATTTTGTAAATGAACTTGAAAAATCTTGCCTTTTCTGCATCAGACTAGTTGGAGGGTATATGGTTTTTAGAAGCTAAAGGCATAAATTTGAAATCT